CCAGGTTGGATGAGGCCTTGAGCATCCTGGTCTAGTGGGGAGGTGTCCCTGCCCATGGCAGTGGGGATTGTGACTAGATAATAGGTAAGATCCATTCCAACCCCTAAAATTCTATGATACAATGTCCTGTGCAGGGCTAAGAGTTAGACTCGATGATCTTTATGGGTCCCGATCAACCTGTGCTTCTGTACGAGAGCACATGTGAACTCTTTTATCACGGCTCATTCTGCATCTCCGTGGCAAAGCCTGTGTATCTAGAGAAGCCTCAGGGAGGATGGATACTGGCTGTGGCTTCGCCCGGGGGAGTCCGGGCCGGGCTGTGAGAGCAGCGCGGCAGTCCCAGGCCAGGCTGTGCCCCGCGGGGTCAGGCAGGGCCGCTCGGTGCCCTCGACCTCTGCCGTGGGCTTTATGCAACTCTATCGGTTCAAAATCTGCGCTGACAAAACCCCGGCTGAAGTGATAACACCTTGGGGTTTTTGCCTTTCGGATGGTTAACTTGAGGGAACAGACAAGCTAAAATCTCTGTGATCCTTTTACCCTTCGCGGCTTGCTAGTCAGATATTTCCTTTTAGTGTGTGTGGCTTGCTAGTTAAGTATTTTGCCACTCTGCGTTAATGTCTCAATGTATTTGGTGCACTGACTGTAATTCGTTAATCAGCTTGAATTAACAAAGGTAAAGACTGAAGCAATTTTTTTTTCAATATCACACATAAAAATCCCGGTAAGAAAGAGATAATGAACCTTAATTTTTAAAAGGTGTAAGAAAGATCATTTATTATCTGGACATTCCCCTTGTCAATGTACAGGTTCGTTCTGACAATGAGTAAAAGAAGTGCTAAGTCATCGTCTGCTGCGTTCGTCTCAGAGGTTGGGAAAAGATATGTGAAGAAAACGGGTGGAACATTACAGGCTGCAAAATGGAATGCTTCTCTGGCTTCTAAAATCAAAACTAAATTAATGAGTAAGTCCTGTTAAAATAAAACTGAAGCCACCAACTGTACTTAGAACATATGGCTTCAAAAGGAACAGTAATGGTATTTAACATGAGTTGCTGAATTGCTGCCTGTTAAGAATACTGTCGTATATTGTCAGTTTTAGGAGAGGCTGAAAGTTAAAATGGAAGTTGTTTATTTATCTCATTCTGAGAGTGATTTCAATCCTTGCTTTTTGGCACACCAGTGTTTCTAAGAGTGTACTCAAGTACATTTCTAACATTCATGTCCATGACCTTTTGGGATGTCTCAAAACTGAGGTATCAAAATGAGGAAAATTGATACTTTTAAAACATAGTTACCATGGTAAAATACTTAGTATTCCCATTTGCAAAAATGGGATTTATAGAAAATTATTCATTGAATAATTCATATACATTTACCAAATCAAAGAAAACTGCAACTATTAATCTGCTTATTTAATCACTTCCTAGAAGATACTTTGTTTTCCCAGTAAGTTGACATTAAATTCAAGCTTAGGTTCGCCGTGGTAGGTGGTTGGGTTTTGTTTCTGGTTCTGACAAAAACAACACTATGGAACATCTCAGATACTTTTTCTGCTAAAGATAGGGAAAGTATAAATGTAGTGAAACTGCTGTTTGAGAACTCTGTTTCCAGCAGCATGCTAAGTGAATATTAACTTCTGCTTCTATTTCTGTGAGCAAGAATTCTTGATGCTTATATATATGTATGTATATATATACACACACAAACACATATATATATTCTTTTTGCATATGTATTTGAATTTACTGTGGCTCTGTATAAAAAATAGTAATTTCCAGTGAAAAGTAAATAGTATAGATGAATAATGCTCCTCTAGAAGTCTCAATACTGCTGTAATACAAATATTTCATAATTCACCAAGATGAATAGTACTTTCAAAGCCTAGTGTTTGGATTAACAAGCTTCCACTGTTGCTGCCTGTTTCCCAAAGCAAGGAAGTAAGGCCTTGCAAATTTTGTGTAACAGATCACAGAACTATTAACATAAGACAATGAAGAGATGTAATAGAAGCAGTTTGCAACCTAACCTTGCTATTTTTGTCTGGTAAAAGAGTATGGTCAGACTTGTCTCTACTTTGAGTTCAAGTTAACTATGTGTATGCTATAAAAGTGAGGCAAAAATTCCCCAATGTTCTGGTAATATGCAGTGTCACTGGGAAAAAAAAGTGAAGTTCCTAAACCATTCTGTAACAGGTATGTGTAGGCAGGTTTTCAGCAGCACAGTTGGAAGGTATATTTCTAGTGTAAAGCTTTTTTTTCTCTGTCATCAAAACTCACATATATTATCAGAATGTTTGACCATTTTAATTTGTGAAATGTATATTTGTTTATTAGAAATTTGTAGACATTTCTGTGCCCATTATACTATCCATTTTCAAATGCTTTCTTCTTATAATAACCATATTTTTAAAATTCTGGACTAGAGCAGAATCTGTGCATGAAATAAACTTGAATATGAAACTGACGGAGTAGTCATCAGAATGACAGCCACAGAATCATTTTTTATTAGAAAGTGTTAGGCTTTGCTGCTGTTGCACCAAAACCTACAGACAAAAATGTTGTTACATAGTGCTGATTCATGCAGAGAGGGGCTGGCATTGAACTAAAATAATGATTTTGTCTCCTTTAGATAACTCGTCTCTGTTTAAAGCATCTTTACAACAAAATAACAAAGCATTAGCTCTGGCTTTGAACAGGGAGAAAGAAAATTCTCGCAAGCTAAAGAATGAGAAGATTTTTCTTCAGATGGAAGTAGAAAAACTGCAGTTTCATAATATCTTCCTTTGTCACAAACTAAACTGTTTGGTATGCTATGAATAATATCATTTAAACTCAGATCTCCTCAACTAAGTTTTTGTCTTGTTTTGAAACTTAATATTACTTCTTCAAATGCTGATTTAAAATATGTGTCAGATTTGTGGAGTTGTTATCGTCTGACAAATAGTATTTACATTTGATTTTTCTTTCATAGGATTTTTTTGTACTTACTGTTTTGTCCATCAGTGTGTATGTCTATCCATAGCTATTTCAGCTTCACCTTTATACTTATAGGTATTGAGGTGTTATTAAAAAGCAGTTTGTGCTCAATTAAATCTAAAAAAAAAATACAACTTCAATGTCTTTTTATCTTGTCTTCTCTTAAACCAGAAGTCACTTAAAATATATTTTTAATTATTTTTTCTTTTACAAACAGAATAAGATTCTTGTAGGAATAAAAGCATATTTGAATGATAACCTCTTAACTGCAATAGAAGTGAGCAGCCTTTCTGAGGTAAGGTGCTTTTTGAACTATTACTACATTGAATTCATTTTCAAGGATAATATTTTCCAAGCATCTAAATGAGTGCAATGCTGAAATAATATATGCATTGTAAAACATTTACCCTAATTCCTTAAAACTTGGGATGATGCACCAGTCTAGTGAAATCAATTAAGTTTTGCTGCACTGAAAATTTATGATTTAATCTGGTTTACAAAGTATCTACAAGTTAAATATCAGTTAGCCCTGACAATGTGGTTAAAAAAGGAAAGCTTAGTACTTCAGTATGTGGTGAACTACCTGCCTTCCTTGCTTAGTGCTGCAATAAATACCATACATGTGGAAACTTTACCAGTAACATAGTCCATCTTAGTTCTCATGTCATGGGAAAATTACAACTAATTTCAGAAAAAGGAAAATATTTTATTGTCTGTTCTAAACTGTTGCTCTGTGCTTTTCTATGTATAATGCAGTTTGCATTAGTTATAGCTACATTTTGAAAAGTCTAGACATTGCTTTGGAATGCAAGTAGGTTATGGATTTTGATAAATTTTGCTACAAAATATTTTTCTTTAAAATGATTATGTGTGTTTGAATATGATGTGCCTTTCAGCAGTATTTCTGGGTTTTGTCCATTTGTTACATTTTTTTTTTCCCCTGTGGATATTTCCAATACTTAAAACAGAAGAGAATATTCAACTATTTCTACTTCCCTACTGTTTTTCTTTTGAAAGAATCTTCAGAGTTCCCTTCATCGGTCAGCTGATCCCAGTAGCCCTACTGTTGAGCAGTTCAAGAGTGCATGTCAGTCATCTAGGTAGGTGGTGATATTAAATGCACAAGTTGATATCTGTCCGTGGATTTTATTTTTTTTTTACAACTCAGCTTTGTATATTGTTCTGGGTATTTTTAAGGTTATGAGAAACAATTTCCTGTCTAATTCAGAATTTACCTATTTGCAACTTGAAATTTATATATAGAGAAAGAATGGTAGACAAAACTTGTGTTTGAATAACTCCTTGCTTTCTTCATGTGGCTTTCACCACAAAGCAGAATTCTGTATCATCAAAAATACATTTTCCCCAAGACAGAACCAGATTTCGTACTCAAGTTCTTGTTTTCTGCTTTTACATGTTATTAAGAGAACATTTTTAACAATTTAATGCTATGATATAAAACCTAATAAAAATCATAGTAAAATTTCCTCTTTTCAGATCTGTAGAATTGCCAGTGAAGCTTCCTTTAATTCTAAGAGCTAATGCAAAGGAGCAAGGTAGCCCTCCTCTGGGTGAAATACCAAACTACTACAAGTGTACCACTAATTTCTCAAAGGAAATGCGTTCAGATCAAGTCAAGTTAGCATCATCACTGCCTTCTGGTACAAATAATCAGAAGTTAATTGAAATAGACCCAGTGGAAACAGCTGTTGACAAACAAATCTTAAAAGGTATGATGTATTTCTGTACAGGTGATTTGTTTTTCAGAGCTCTCTGAGAATTAGTATTTAGTAATTCATTACTTGATGCACAGTACAGAAGGTGGAATAAGGTTCCTAAACTGTAATAAACTAATGAAAAATAGAATGCTCACCCATAAGTGTAGATGTCCTGACAATCACTTGTGGAATAGTGTTCATTGAAATGACACAGCTGAAATGTAACAGAACTTTAACAGAATAAAACTTTTATAAGATAGACAAATAGTAACTGAAGTAGTTATAGAAAAATAGGTTATTATTTCTACCCAATTTCAAAAGTCCAACTTTGGTAAAATATGAAATTAGCTCTAGTTAAATCAATTTTTAAGGACCAACCACAGAATGTGTGTATTCAGTTTAAAAAAAGAAAGGCGCTTGTAATTTTCCATAATTCTGGTTCAACCTTCAGTAATCTTATGCCAATAACTACACTCTATTCTTGCTTTCCCCAAGCTGCTTAAATTTTTCTTTTTGCAGAAAATCTATTGTGCACAGAAGTAAGTTGCATTAGTGCCTTCCTAACTTGTGTCAAAAATAAACAATCCTTAGAACAGCCTGAGGAGCTTACGGAGCAATATAATGGTAGTTCATTGCCATCCTATGGAAATGTGGCCGAAACAGAGAAACATGCAGTTCTTCCTAAGTCAAAACATCAATCTAACATAAAGGATTTTGATGAAAAATGTAAGTCATTTAATCTGCCTCATCATGGTACCAACAGTGGCAGCAACACCAATGATACGAATTTGCAGGAAGGTTCAAGTGACTTGTCTTGCGTTATTCCCTCACCTCGTAAATTCAGCAATGAAAGTGAGACAGATTTTAAGAAGCTGCTTTTTACTGACAAGATGAAGCCTGAAGAAACTCTTTATGATGATGATATGGAGTTGACTGCCAGTGATGTGGGTGAACTACTCACAGTTACAGCGAAAGACAATCGTAAATTGCGCCAAAATAAAAGTAGTAATGCAAATTCTGGTAAAATACTAGCAAGTTTCAGAAAAGCAAAGTACTCTAAGAAGGATAAAAAGGAAGTTAAAAGCAAAACTGAAGTCAGTTCGAATTTGTATGCAGAAGAAAGGCACACAAGAGCTGGCAATAGTGAAGCTTCAAAAACTATTGACTCACAAACTCAACAATTCCAAAGTCAGTCAGAACAGTCATATACAGGAAATTCTGTCGAGAAACAGAGTAAAACAAGTACAGCTAAAGCTACTAGGAGGACATACCAAGTTAATTTAATGAGTCCAAGAAAACAGAAGACAAATAAAGAAACCTTCTCAAAAACATTTGGAGTCATGAAAAACAAAATCCAAAAAGCAGACTCAAACTTATCTGCTAACGGGATCCCACCAGAAGTTTGTGCTGAAAAATTACCATTCCAAGATAACACTTCTAATATGTTGCCTTTACAGGAGGACTTCCTGAATACAAATGACAAAGATAGCAGACCAACAGTAAACAGGAAAACTTTTCAAAACCCTTCCAAAGCAAACACAGCAAAATACCATAGAGAGGAAAATGGCCAGTGTGGAGAATATATTTTTAAAAAATCTCAAACAAAGATACACCAACATGAGAGCAAGCGTAAACAAGACCAGAAGAATACTATACAAATTAAAAACAACCAAAAAAGTGGTTACAGGGAAAGCAGAGAAACTGAGAATTACAGCACTCATGAAACTCGACAGAAAGCAGACCAAAACAGTAGCCATTTTTTGCCAGGCAGATTAAAACATACATTGGCAAAAGCTGGCCAGAAAGCACACATCATACCAAAAGAAAATCTTACACAGTTCTCAGTTTGTAAAAGTGAAGAATTAAAAAATAAGGATTCATTGCATGCAGAGGCTGTTAGTGGAAATAAAGTAACCAAAACTCAGCAAATCCAAGTAGCTTTAATTACTCTAAATGGTGCAGCTACAAATACACCAGAAGCTAAAGAAGCTAATGATGCTGACATGTTAAAGAAAGTAAATTCCTCAGCAGTGGCAAATAGAAACCCTCATATTAGTAATTCTCATCATCAGATGAATCAGCAGAAACAGAGTTCTGATGTTACTAAGACCAGACAAGAAAAAATTTATTTCAGGCGTATTGATCAGGGAGAACAGAATATTTTGGATGACCAGGAAGTCCCTCATGAAATAGACTCCTTTCCTAGCAAGTTAAAGCCTATGATTCAAGTTGAATGTTCTAAGAATATGCCATTAAATGTAGATAGATTTTCCCAGGAAGGTCTTTCCAATATTGAGCTCCCAGCTGTCAATAATCACAATGCTTCTATCAACTTCTCTATGCTGAAAACCTCTGAAATCCATGGGGAAAATGGTCACAATAAAGCACTGGATGCTGAAAAGGCAGAACAAAATCTGGATCATCTTTCTAAAGGCAGTTACAAAAGTACTCTGACATCTTCTCATGGTAAGTGTATGGGTTAGAAAAAAAATGGCATTTTAAATTAGGAAGTGCCTGAAATAGCAGTAAAGTGTCTTTTCTTAACACTGCCCAACTCATTGCTCTTTTAGAGTGGATAAAACAGGAGTGGAAAACGGTAAGACTGAAATCACTAAAATTATGCATGTTCTGTATCATGTATCAGTCACAATAGCTTCTTTAATTGTGCTAACTAGTATCCTTGTTACTTTTCAATATACTTCGTAGGGCAGATGTAAATAGTCTACATTCTTGAGAAGCAATTATACTTGGAGCATGCATTCATTTTCCAAAGTATGTCATGGGATTCAGAAAGTTGGGCATTGAAAAGATATAATAGCTTGAGCTTTTATACAAGGGAAATAAGAGGAACCTACAGTGTTCCCTTCATAATTGGAGAACCTAGCTGGACTTCAAGATTTCATTTGTGTTTCTTTAGAAACACTGCAATTCAACAGGATTTGTGATACACAAAAAAAGTATGTTGAGTAGGTTTTCTTTATAACCTGCCCATGAACAAACTTTGACGTGACAACCTCTTTCTTAAAGTAAGATATGTTAAGAAAATAATCAAACTTTAATGTAGTCTGGAAGATAGGTTTAGATTCTTCTATCATACAATGCAATTAGTGTAAAGGAGCTAAAGCAATATAGGACCAACATATCTATGCAGGAGTTTAAATGTACTTTAGAATGTAGCTTTGAAGTTTCATAGTGTTAGGGGTCTATTTTGTAAACATACTTGTTCTCAACAAGTTCCTGTTTACTTCATTGTCTCTAGAAAGTCCCAACACCTAGACAGTATCCTAGTTCAAATTAATAATTTGAATCCCAAACCATCAAGCAAATACTTTCTTGGTTTCATTTGAATGCTAGGACACAATGCCAAAAAAAATCTCCTATTTTCCACAAGCACAGAACAGAAATACTGGCAAAATTAGGCCATTGTGTGAGACTGATAGTCTTTGCAATTTGCAATTGCATCTTCGATTTGTTCTTTGGAAGGTGGAAAAAGGATCCCATGATTTTATTAGTATTAATGAAAAATTAGTAAACCCTTATGATCAGCAGAATCAAAGACTGCTGACATAAAAAGCAAGCTAATCATTAGATCTTCATTTAAGCATAGCTCACAAACCAGTTAATTTTTTCTCCTGCATCCAAATCCATATCTTGAATTCATATTTTGCTATGCTTATTTTATGCACGTGTGCCCAAAATGCAGACATAAAGCTGCAAAATGCAGTACTAAAGAACTCTTGTACTGCTTGACTCTTCAGATTATACATGTATGCTCTCCCTCTGCATTCAAGGCCATGAGCAGTGTGCAGTTTTAGTTTTGCACATGCAGTAACTCTTGGGAGTCTTAAGCAGCCAGACGCAAACTCCAGTGCTCATGGGGCTTTCCTAAATGTCCCACGAGCCATGGCAGACCTCAAACAGCTCCTGACTTGTGTAGGTACTGGCATTTTCTTTGATCATCTATCCCATTTTGTGTTGAGTATCTTTAGAGTAGGAGCAGTAACCAAAGTACCTGAATTAAGAAATACTAATTAAAAAGAATTATTCATTAAAAGTTTACTAAATGATTCAGGAAATATCTAAGATGAGACATATAAACTACTGTATTTACAGGGAGAAGGGCTTTCCAAGATGTGACAAATACTCGTACACAATCTCACACTTCCGTACCTAAATCCCCTGAAGCTTCAGGAGAAAACTCAGCAGCACCATCTAGACGAGAAAGACACAATATTTGCTACAGAGAACCCAATCTGCTGAGGTAATTATACAGAAATTAGGGCTTTTGCTTGTCTTTTGAGTGTGTAACTATGCCCAGTAAAGATTTGCTATTAAACTCTGCAAAAACACAGTTGAACTCTCACAAATCTATTTGGCAAAGATACTTCAGTGCTGATATAAAACACTTGTTAGTGTGGCAGGATTTCCAAGTACCAAAGTAAGACAACAACAGTATTCAAGTCTCAAAATATAGTTTGTACTAATAGTGGATAATAGTGAATCAATGTTTATAATGATATAAACCCCTTTAGAGATGGAAAATTTTAAGTGTTATACTTAAAGGTAACAGCATAATAATGTTCTTGTAATATTGTCAAGTGGAAAGAAAATCTATGCACCAATATTGTATAATTCAGTAGTTTTGCTTTAACTAGCTGTAGCTAATATTAGAAATAATTTGAGTTTAAGATAAATTAATTTCGTAGTTAAATTAAGTATGTATATTAAGTTGATAATTAATTTGCCTCTCAGTGTTCTCAGCAAATTTAGAGATACAGAATTTTTGAGATTACTAAAATGCAAGACATAAATTCTGTAATCTCTATTAAAATATAAAAGAGGATTTAAAAGCCAACTTTAATAAAGAAGACTAATATATTTGCATTTACATTAATAGATCTGAATCCCAATGGACCTTTAAGCTGATCATTTCTGACAATATTCTGAGAGTTTTTGCCACAGAGTTGGTTGACTTTTTTTGTTTGATTTGGATATTTTTAAGTGTAATATTAATTTTAAGAGCAGCTACTCTGTGTTGTGTGTGTATTAACAGAATGCATATTCTTGAGAACAGTATCAAGGCTTATCTGTAACAGCATTGAGAGTGAAAGAATTGTAGCAACTTTATGACAAAGGTGTAAAAGGAGTATGTCTTTTCTGGCAATACTGTGGCAGGAGAAGAAAAAAAAACCAAAATCTGAAAAAAATTAGAACACAGTTCTCATACAACCTCAAATAATTTTTACCTCTTTAAGTAAGCAAACAACTGAAGCAATGAGTCTGAGGATAAATAGGAGCTAAAACTAGTGCAGGGAGTGTCTTTTCACTTTACCACTGGCTTTTTAAAGATATTTGTGCCAGATAATTTATAAAAGAAATGGAAAGGGATTAGAGTTACTCTATTATTTTAATAATTGAATTGAATGCTAAAATACTGTAATATTATATATGGACACATTTATACTCTTTTACCCCAGAATGATAAAGTTCTGAGAGAGACAGTAACTAATAACAGAAAAAAATGTGGATATTGTGAAAATTTTAGATGATTATCCCCTATTTATACTTAGTTTCCAAGTATACTCTCCTGAATGGATGCTGTTAAGCTTTTGGTTTCAGTAAGTTTTGGATTTTGTCTTACATAACTTATGATTGCTCACATATTAATATGATAGAGGTCACATAACAAAACTACTATTTTAACATTATTTTGGAAAGCAGTAGTTATCTATGCCTTGCTATTTCAGACATATTTATTTTCCATAAATTTAATCTCTGTATTGTATCAAGCTTTCATTAAGAGTATTTACCATATGAATTGTTTTAACTACATTATTATTATT